GCAGCAGCGGCCGCCGAGCGCCCCGCGCCGCGGAGGACGAGCCGCCGGGGCAGCCCTTTATTGCACTATATACGGACAAACGAGCTGAGCTCGTTTTAATTTTGCAATGAGACAAAGGGCGCGCTTCCTTTGAATGAGCGCGCTCAGCGCGTGCAGAGGCCGTCGCAGCTCGCCTTGCCTGCGATAGCTCTGCTCCGCTGCGTCACGCCGCAAAAGCCCTATCGCCGGTTTTCCCTAAAAACGAAAAGCCGACGTACGAAACAGCGAGCCCACGCAGCTCCTTCTGTGCAACAGGTACCGCGGCGCAGTCGATTTCCGCCCTCTGGATGAAACTTTGCAGGCGTTTTTGTGTGTGTCATGTGCAGCAGAGCCTGGAGGGCATCTGGGAGGAAGCAAAATTGCAAACAGCAGAATTATGTAACTTGGAAACGCGGCTGTATATCACAATTTTCACTGGGAGTTTTAATTTAGAAACACAGCAGTTGCCGAAAGCAGTAGTAGGAAACGTGTAGGTCAGAGTTTCCCCAGTGGATGCTGACACGACAAACCCGGCTGACTCAACAGAGCTTCCTGTGACCCTCTGTTACTGAGAGATGCCGTGAAAACCTGCGTTTCAGAAAGGTGTCCCAACGTGACTTTTCGGTTCAGGATCCGAGGCTTTGAGGATAATCTTGTCAAGCCCCTCTGGACATCCCGCCCGGTGTCCAGTACGCTTCCACCTGGAAGAACTATCGAAATCGCATTAAAACTGCATCGGCCTCAGACCGCCACCTTTCATTCCCGACGACCCTAAAAGGCACGTGGCAGTAAGCGGCTCGCTCACCGTGTTTTAGCTGAAAAACAAGGCAAAAAAAGGAAAACTCCGCAGGGCAGCATGGAAAGGAAGAACAGCGACCACAACAGAAGCGGGGATTATTTCACTTTAAAACAATAAGCACGTAAATTATTCTTCCCTGATACCTACTTCCCTTCTCCTCAGTCCGGCCCCTGACTACACAGTGTTTATCGCGGCGGCTTTAAATCATCTGTGGGTTCGTAGCTGTTCGTTGCTTGTAAATCTGGGAGGCTCGCACCAGTTTTTTACTGCCCGGCTGGGTCCGAGCGCAGGAAGGGTATGTGGTCCGCCCCGACGCGGAGGCTGCGCAGAGCCTCCAGCCCTCCCCGGCCTCCCGCCTGTCCCGGGAACGGCACGTACCGAGTTCATCTTCTCCCGACGGCCCCATCCAAAGCCTTTCCCTGCGTCACTGAAAAGTCCCACTCGGGACGGGGTCTCGGCCGCGGCTCCCTCCTGCAGCCCGCAGAGCCGAACCGTTCGGCGCTGCCGCTCCCGAAGGCCTCTTACCCACCAAGAAGCGGTTTCGCAAGCCGCGGTTCGCGAAGGTAATTAAGAACTCGCATTGTGTTGGGCAAGCAAAGTCCCGTTGAGACGCGGTTCGCTTTGTTCAACGGCAGTCGCTCTCGTTTTTAAAGCCAGGAACACGCTCGAGTGCTTCCTGACTGGGAGGCACGGGCGGAAAGTATTCAGGACAGTGTCACAGCTATCATCCCCTCCTTCTCACAGACTTGGGAAATTTTTAAGACCTGGTTGGACGAACATACTGTTCTGCTTCAGAGCAGGACGGAGCAGATGGTCCTGCAGATCCATGTGAAAGCCTGGTCCCACCGGCCTTGTCCATACGGGTGAAAATTCAGTCTAGACAATGCTCCTGAGTGCTGGGATTCCCTCACCCGCACTGCCACGTTGTTAGCGCGGTCTTTGGCATCGTTTTGCTGCGGGTCTCCAAATAATACCCGGAGACGCTGTGGCCAATTCCCAGGAGGCAGTTCGGATGAAGCCGCTCTTTTCTGGGCTCTGAGAGTTCAGGAGGGTGGACGAAGCCAGGCTTTGCCCGAGGTCTTCAAAGCCCCAGCACGGGCTTTAGTACTGTTAATCTAAGACAGCGGTTGCTACTGAGGCCAATATATGGGAAAATGGAAACCTCCCCCCCAGACTCTGTCGGTTTTCTTAAGGCCGTGATTTTCAGGGACTATTTGCTGCATTTGCACCAATGCACCAGGCATTCATGTATTGCATGAGAAAGAGGGATCCCCATTTGGGGAACAACGGCGACGAGTGATTATGAATCCACCGGACTTTCATACTTGTATTTAGCATTGCCACCCTCAACTGTTCAGAAACCGCTAGACAGGTAACCAGAATTGTGCACTTAGCTTGAAAAGTCAAGACATCAAAGCCAAACTCTTAAAACTGGGGACTCTCTTCATTTGCTTGCTAACTTTCCAACATTCATGTTTTCATGCTTTTCTTCAGTAGCATAGTAGCTAGAAATCGATTTAATTTTATCCTCCCTTCACCCCAATTCTCCGTAAATCACCAGATCCCATGAGCTGAGGCCTTTAAAAACATCAAATTCCACAATGCTTGCAACAAGTTTGCAGGAATTGGCAACATTAAGATTCAGATCTGGATTCTCCCGGTCTGGAGATGCTCAGATCATAGTATGGGTTGGTCCATTCCAAGGGCAATGACACATTGGAAAATCTGGGGCAAACTCCAATTTATTTGGTTAATTTGGTATTGGCCGCTTGGCTTTGATTCATCTCATATCAAAACAAAACAAACTGTGTTAATAGATTTAAAATGTCAGTTGAGCACTTTATCCTGAGCTTGTATATTCAGAAATGAAGAAGCTGTTGAGGTTGATGGACAGAGGCCAAAGTTAAATGCCAGGGAGAGCAGGGGGTGGGTAAAACCAAGCCAAACTTATTCAACTGCTCAGCATTGTTAGACTCCAGCCAACATTTATTATTAATTGAAGTTAAAGCTGTCACAAATGATCATCCTGTGGACGTGTTTTTTTTTTTTTTATGTATGACATTTTTTTTTCCATTGTGTTTTTCTGCCTATTTTTAAATGTTGCACACTTAATTAAAAAAAATCGGGTATGTTTCTCACATTGCATACATAGCAATATTGGAAAAACTCTAAGGACAAACAGTCAAGAAAACAAACGTAGATATGTCTTAGTTCTACTTAAAGAATGTGAAATAGGCTAAACCACTGTATAATATGTTTTATTGGAATTTTTCACTTACCGGTCTGTGCAGCTTCACCAAGATTCCTTGTCAAATTCTCTTTAAGAGGATTAAGTTATCGTGGGATAGCAAGGGAAAGCTCCCTCATAGGTCAGTAACTGGTTAAAAACTGGGGGGGAAAGCACAGGAATAAACACTTTCACATCCATTCCCAAAGGAAAGAGGTTAACAGATGGAATCCTTCAAGGATCTGGCCTGGGTGATTTGTTGTTCAACACATCATTACAAAATCTGAAAGAGGAGTGAGCAGTGAGGTGACAAAGTTTGCAGGCCGTACAAAATTATTCCAAATAACTCTGTATCTGAAACTGACGGTGAAAAATCGGGGAAAGATCACACAGCACAGTGTGATTAGGAAATAAAGCGGCAGATGTGATTTAATGTCAATAAGAAGAAAGTAACACATCTTGGAAAAAATTATGCTAATCATACACATACAGTCATGGCCTCTAAATCAGCTATTACCTCTCAGAGGGGGGAGAAAAAAGATTTGGGGGTTATTGTTGATATTTCTTGGGGAACATCAGCTTAATGCTCAGCAGCAGTCGAATGAAATGTTGGCAGTTGTTACGAAAGCAACAGAAAACAAAATAGTAAACGTTATGCCACTATATAAATCTGTGTTGTACCACATTTTGAATGTTGATGCAGTTCTGGCCAGTCCGCCTCCAAAAGAACATGCAAAACAACTGAAGTCACAGGGAAGCGTTCCCAGGATAATCAGAAGGAGAAGACGGCTTCCACATAAGGAAAGACCAAAAAAAAAGCAGATTAGGACACTTGGCAAATGACACGACTGATGGGGCAAGGAGGAAGAATCTGACAAAGTCCTCTGGAGTCACGAATATAGCTGAGAAAAATAAGGAATAATTATGCAGTACGCTCCTAAGACAAAAGCTGGAGACACCACAGAAAAGTCTCGTGCAAACAAAAGCGCCTTTCACATAACGCATGGCCATCGGTGAACCTGCTGGGGCAGGATGTCGCGGAGACCCAAAGAATTAAAAGGGTTCGAAAAGAGACTAAACAAATTAATGGATTAGAGGTGCATTAGTGCTATTAAACCCGATAGTCGGATGCTGTCAAGATTAAAAGTGAATTATTACCGCAAAGAAAGCTGTCTGCCTTATGCGAAACAGCTCGATGAATCTTCAGTCCAAGGTTTCAAAAGACTTCTCGCAACACACACACACATATATAACAGACTCGTAATTAGCACTTCTGAACTCCGGCTCTAGCGATGGACCTTCCGTTTGGGATTCAGGTACATTCACCTAATGACAAGCTTTATGTACCAGCACTGACCTTATTATTATTTTATTGGTATACAAAGGAATTAGCTGCCTAGGACTATGAGTCTGGGGTATTTTCAAGCAGTATGACTGCACACACACACACGCTGCTTTTGCTGTATTATTAAACAGCCTGTGCAACTTCACTGCAGCTACACCGAGTCTTTCAATTTGTACAGATGCTGTTAGTACTTATTCCTCTCCCGATTTAGCATTTGTTCAACCTCCTTCATTTCAGCTGAGATTTAACCTGACATCAGTCCCAAACTCCGACAGCAAAGGCAACATTAACAAGAATCAGTAAAGCTGGGAAGGAGAGAGAACCACTAATTCCTTCAGAAAGCGAAGCGTTTCCCAAGGTCACGAAGACATTTTTCTAGACTGACGATAGATACTCAATCAGCGCAATTATTCATTTGCTCTCTTTGAGTTTATGGCATTTGTTAATGAGTTGAAAACTGCTTTTTTTTTCTTTTTCAATACAAGGGTGAAGACTGCAGAAATGTCCGGGTAAATAGGAAAGAAAAGGAAAGCGCGCGCTGTGGTAGACGCTGTGGCCATTTTGTACTCCGGGGAAGGAGGGTCGGGTATCCAGGGCAGGTAGGAAACACGCGATTCGCCACGTAAAAGCGCCCGCTCCTCACAACCAAACTCTCCTTGCACTGAAAACAAAGTCAAAAAAAAAAAAAACCAAAACCAAAAAAACCCCAGCACTTTCCTAAAGCTTTAACTGAACTTTTCCCTCTTTCACTAAAGCCAACTGCCGTCCCTCGGGGCCCGTTTGCGGCCGAGGCGCTGGCGCTGTCGCCCGTCCAGGAGCCGTCCCCACGTCCGCCT